AGAGTTCTTCACATTAGACGTGCACCGTCTAATAATTTTGCATTATTTCGTTATTCGGGTCCAAAAGTCCATTCATTTCGGTATTCGGATGAAATTCATTAGCAGCAGTTTGTACGAATTTTCGTTGCAGCAAAGTTACATTTTTTACAGTCTACAGAAGAGGAAACAAAAAAAGCGTGAGGTTCTCCCCCAATTCACACCAGACTTTCAAGTCTGGTAGGAATGTTTAGGAGGGACCCCCCCATAATCTAGTCATAATACTATTCATATGACATCCGGGCTCACAGACCCAAATTGCATTCTGGAGCTCACAAATAGCATTCGGGAGCTCCAGAATGCTATGTGGTATTTGACAGCTGAGAATGTCAAATGGACAGAGCGAGCTGTGACGTCACGGCTCACTCCACCTATCTGTTTGCTTTCGCACAGGAGATGTCATTTTGCGACGAGTTTTCGGACGGTCGTCGTGTGGCGGGACTTTTTTATTCCGGCGGGTGTCGTGCATCGTGATTGATGCTGGATTACATCAATGGAGCCATTTTTTTTATTATTATTAAAGGAAGCCAAAAACTGACACTCTGGTGTTTATTTTTTTTCTAAAAGTGTGGTTTGTTTATCTATTTTGGATTTCAACCCTTTAGTGAATGTACAAGTACCCCTTATTCATTCACAAGGGGGGGGGGGGGCGGCATCTGGGTGCCTCCTTAATTAAAGAGGTACCCTGATGCAAATAAGCCCCCTTGCCCGCACACCCCGACAACCACCAGGTCAGGGTTGTGGGGAAGGGGCCCTTGTCCGCATCAGCATGGGGACAACTCCTAATGCCGAGGGCACGTGGCCTGGTAAGGCGCAGGGAGGGGCACTCAATCATCCCCCCCCCCCTTTCCTGCCCTGCCAGGCCTGTGCTCGGATCAAGGGTCTGGTAGGAATTTTACGGGGGACTCCACTTTTTTTTTTTTCCCCATTATTTTTTTTTGGGGGGGAATGCTGGTATGAATTGGGGGGGAAACACACGTTTTTTTTCCTCCTCTGCAGACTGTAAAAAAAAGAAGTTGTTTTTCTTTCTCTGTCACTTTGCTGCAACGGAAATTCGTCTACAAAAGAAAAGTCTTAGTACCGCTAACTCATTTTGGAATCGGAAATTCGGATTCATTTGCATTCGTCATTTCTGAAATTCGGATACATCTGAATCTCTGAATTTTTCGAAAATTCGTCTGAAAAACGAATATTTATTTCACATAAAGCTCATGTTTACTTCACATACAGCACATTCACATCAGTCCCTGCCCTCAAGGAGCTTACAATCTAAGGTCTCTATCTCACATACATATACATACTAGGTCCAATTTAGACAGGAGCCAGTTAACCTACGAGCATGTCTGGAGTGTGGGAGGAAACAAGAATGCCGGAAGGAAACCCACACAAGCACAGAGAGAACATATGTATAAAGGTCAGGAATGGATAGACAGAAAAACAAATTCTTTTTGTGGCTAAAACAGATCTCATATATGTAGTTTAACAATGGACTTAGTTGTTTGTATGGAAATCAGCTTTAAAAAAACACATGGGTAAAACCACAAGACATGACCACATGACAGCATTATTCATGATGTCATGAACAATTTATATTGGAAGAAAGGAAATATTAATAATATACAGTATACCACCAACAATTTATACCTAAATAGGCCTGTGCCAGAGAGATGTTGTATTGGATACCAAAGCTTGTATGCCTACAGGCTGCATTGATGGAATTCCAGCCCTATATTGCTCTTTACAAGCATGAAATCCTAATTTTTATTATAGCACACAGAGGTATATACAGAGACCTACAGAGTGATGTTTCAGAAGCATAGTTCCTTTTCTTTTTTACTTTTCCTCACACGTGATTGGCTGTTTAGAAAGAACACTGGTGTACCTCATTAGTAGAATTAACTTTGCAAAGTGAATATTCAAGTGAACACCTTCCACCGCTTTAGTAAATACTCCCTATTGCCTCCAGCTATAATGGCATTTATGAAAAAGAGCATCGGGCTGTTTGTTCTTGATACAAACACTGTGAAGGGAATTTATCAAAACTGGAGCAGCTGTGCATGGCAACCAATCAGCTTCTCTCATTCATGTTCAAATCTTAGCTGAACAAACTGAAGAGAGAAGCTGATTGGTTGCCATGCATAGCTGCTCCTGATTTTGGCTGCTCCAGTTTTGATCGATTTCCCCCCTGTGAATTTCTTAATAACTAACCTGTCTCTCCCTTTTTTTGAAATGTGTCTTCACCATGCAGATGACAGCAGTGTAAGTGAAGGGCTTGCACACAAAGTTAGAGTGCTTTGCTGGATCATGACTTCACCTTATAACTTAAAGACTAGAACCATCCATGTCAAGTATTCCTGGACTCGTCACTGTAATATCTCTTTGTTCATGAGTTCTACCAATGATAGCTTTCCAACTATTGGTCTGGGGACCAAAGAAGGACGAAGTAAACTCTACTTTAAGACCATTGGGGCTTTTCAATATATACATAAACATTACTTCGATCAGGCTGACTGGTTTTTAAAAGCTGACGATGACACGTATATAGTGATGGAAAACCTCCATCTAATGCTCTCCAATTATTCATCTGACCAGCCTATCTACTTTGGGAAACTGTTCAAACTTTTTGTCAAACAGGGGTATATGAGTGGTGGAGCTGGTTATGTACTGAGTAAGGAGGCACTAAAACGTTTTGTTGAAGGGTTCGCCTCTGGTAACTGTAGTCATAGATCTCCTGTGGAGGACTTGGAACTTGGACAGTGCATGGAGACCATGGGAGTTTCACCCATTGACACTCGAGACTCTGAAGGGAGAGAGACCTTCTTTCCATTTCCTCCGGAATTTCACCTAACTAGCCATTTTGAAAAAAATGACCTTTATCGCGATTATTCCTTCTATCCTGTTGTTGAGGTGAGTTTTAACTTTATATATGTGAAATGGAAATGTGCAAAATATATTTGTGGTATAGGATGGGGCGTGGATAGATTTCTGGATACACAGAGGATAATAACATGCAGGCAATGCAGAGTTAAAGAGAACTCCAGGAAATTTTTTATTAACCCTTGAAGTGGGGCTACCCCGCACTGCAAGGGTTAAGTGGGTTTAAAAAAACAGTTGTACTTACCTGGAGCTCCAAGCTGGCTTATTCTTAGACCAGTCCTTCTTGTGTCTCCCCCTCCTCTGCAGTTGTCTTAACATCCCATAAATCATCAGGTCTATACACTGTGTATAGATGTGAGGATGCTGAGGAAGATTCCAATGCTGCTGTGGAGGGGACAGGCTGGAGGGAGTGCTGTGACAGCCGGCTGGCTCGGAACTTCGGGTGAGTATATGTTTTTTTTGTCCTTAGCCACAAATGAGCACTTGAGCCTTGCAGTGGGCGCGGGGTGGGGGGAGTAGCCCCACTGCAAGGCTTAATAAAAGTTTTCCTGGAGATCTTTGTAAAGGTTAACATTTTTATATTCTAAAATGATACCATTGCAGAAGAAGAGAGCTAGCATAGTAATGTCTATATTGCCATCATCTGTTATGCAGATCTGGGGCTTACACATATATCCCTGCACATGAAGAAGCTATGAATGATGAATGTTCAAAAAGCATGTGCCTAATTCTCTTCCTCAGCACTGGGGAGAAAGTGCCTGATAGTAGTATAATGAATATTTGATGGTGCCAAATAACGTAAGCAATGTGTTTCCAGATATGATGATATATGTACTCCTGAGGCACGGATAAACACAGATATTGTGCAGAGAATGATAACGTATAGAAAGATTTAATCATTATAATATTGTGTAGGATTTTCCGAACCTCTGACATGTTCAGGTGAAAAGAGATGTTTCATCAGGTAACGGTAATTAGTCATCACTTCCCCCAACAACCTAGTAAGTGATTTTTCTCACATTACTTGGCTCAGTGGAGTTTGATCAGTGAAATACAGTGTTTCTTAGGCTGGGCACACACCTTACAACCATCACAAGACTTTTGTCTTGCGATGGTTGTAAGGTACTTAAAAACGTACGATCTGCCTATGTTGCATAGGCAGATCGTACTTGCGATGATCGCAAGCCACGCCCCCTGAGGGGCGGGCTTCCGATGACCGCAATGCCGAACGGGCAGTGTGCGCTTGCGCACACCGGCCCGTGCGGCTGTTATCGTACGGACATGCCACAAACCCGCCGAACATCGTACGATGCTCGGCGGGTTTTCAAACATGTCCGTAAGTTTAAAGTCGTGCGACCTTACAGTAGTAGAGGTCGCACGGCTTCCACACACCTTACGAACATCGTACGATCGTGGGATTTCCCGCGATTTTAGTACGATAAACGTAAGGTGTGTGGGCACCCTTAGTGTAGCGCTCACCCCCGAAGGAGCCTCTGAATATGAACTAGGGTTCTCCTACCTGTTTGTCAGCCACCGGCCCCTTACTCAGATCTAGCAACACCGACACTCTGGAACAGAACAGGCTCAAGTCATATGGTCTTTTTAGTATTTATTTGCAGGATCAACAGGAGAGAGGATTTGGGACTATAGGATACCCGGGTAATACTTCAGAGGACTCTTTATTTTCCCGTAGCAACAGCAAAATTCAATAGTACAGTGGTCCTGTCAGAGCGACCAACAATCGAAATAGCACAGCGGACAGCCAGGATAGTCCAGGACCTTGAGAGAGAGAACTATCTCTGGACTCATAGCAACAACTGGCTTCTTCTCTAACAAGCACCTTGGAATAGGTTGAGGGATCTCTTACAGGGTTCCAGACGGTAGCTCTCACCAGCTCCTCTGTGACACTCCTCGACAAGTAGATTCCACCTCCAGCCCAGCTTCCATCAGGTTTCCTTTCAGCTGCATCTGAAGTCTCTGGGCCCTCAGCATCTGCCACGTGCTGAGGTGCATACCAGATATCCAGTAGTATCTTCTGCTTCTAGGCCCCCAACACCTGCCACGTGCTGAGGCCCAAGCAAAGCATCTGTAGTATCCTAGGCCTCTAGGCCCCCAGCACCTGCCATGTGCTTAGGCCCAGGCCAGTCACTTGCATCACGCAGGCCTTCTAGGGAGAGGCCCCTTGAGGGGAAAGAGTTCTCCACAGTGTCCCCAAACCTTTTATCACCTACCCTCAGCCATACCTCTGAGTCATCCTACTCAGGGATTGGCTAGAGCCAGGCACACAGTCACAAAGCCAAAGGAGTCTGATGATGGCTAGGTAGAAGACATGGACTGCCAGAGTGGTGAAGATAATAGCTCTGCTATTGCTCAAAAGGCTCATTAAGATTATTTTAGAGTCACTTTAATATTGGATGAACAAACCTACATATGTACAGTTGTGTGGAAAAGTGTTGGCCCCCTTCCTGATTTTTCATTGTTTTGCACGTTTGTCACACTTTAATGTTTCAGATCATCAAAAATTGTTCAGCGCCTCGGCCCTCTCCTTGTCACTTGTGAGTAACTTCCCGTTTTCGTCATTTAGTGGGCCTATCTGCTCCTTTCTTACCTTTTTACTGTTAGTAAAAAATTCTACCAATATATTATCTGCGGCGATATGCTTTTCAGGTTATACCTCAAGCTGAAGCGAACTTGGGTTCTGCAGGAGGACAATGATCCAAAACACACCAGCAAGTCCACCTCTGAATGGCTGAAGAAAAACAAAATGAAGACTTTGGAGTGGCGTAGTCAAAGTCCTGACCTGAATCCTATTGAGATGCTGTGGCATGACCTTAAAAAGACGGTTCATGCTCAAAAACCTTCCAATGTGGCTGAATTACAACAATTCTGCAAAGATGATTGTACCACAATTCCTGCACAGCGCTGTAACAGACTCATTGCAAGTTATCGGAAACGCTTGATTGCAGTTCTTGCTGCTAAGGGTGGCCCAACCAGTTTTTAGGTTTAGGGGGCAAACACGTTTTCACACAGGGCCATGTGGGTTTGGATTTTGTTTTCCCTTAAAGGGGTTCGAAAGCCTCCCATTTTTTTGCCTATATCTAGTGCTGACGAGCAGTAGATATAGGCAAAAAGTTAAAAAAAACAAAAAAGGCCCGCTTGAACAGCGGTATAGACTGACCTTATCGCTGCGCACTCCCACGGCGAGAGTCCGGAACTGTTTGTGCGGCCGCAAAGGATCTTGGGGCGGCCGCATGCGCAGTTCGGATTTTCGGCCGGTAGACGAGCAGAGATGCAAGGTAAGCCTATGGACGCGTGCACCCGCCTGCAGACACCGCTGGATCGGAAGTGCCTGTAAGCAGAGAGGAGTCAGCGCTGGATCGGAGAGCCGCCGCACCGCTGGAGGGACAGATGAAAGCATGGGGAAAGAAGAGGAAGATCGGATGAAGAGACATCATTTAAGGTAAGTGCTAACATTAACATGGGGGGAGGGAAAAAAAATTATCCTTTTAATGTCACTTTAATAATAAAAACCTTCCTTTTAAAAACTGCATGTTGTGTTTACTTGTGTTTTATCTTTTGACTAATATTTAAATTTGTTTGATGATCTGAAACATTAAAGTGTGACAAACGTGTAAAACAATGAAAAATCAGGAAGGGGGCCAACACTTTTTCACACAACTGTATATGCATGTCCAGCAGGGGTATGATCCGCTGATGGCTGAATCACTTGCAAGTCTCCAATTACTTTCTTAAATCTATTAAAAAATATTAAAATGCCACAATCGCTTTTCTTTTTTTAATGTGTTATTCTATATACTGCATTTAGCAATAACTCTAATTACTTTGAAATGTTGATTTGTTTCAGGGTCCCCAGTGCTGCTCAGACCTGGCCGTATCATTCCACTATGTGGATGCAGAACTCATGCACACCCTGGAATATTTCACCTACCACTTGAGAGCGTATGGATACCAGTACCGCTACCACCCCCACCCCCAGTGGCCACCACACACTGACAGACTGCATGTTAACGCCACGGATCCTATAAATGTGAAAACGAATTTAAATGAGTCTTCTGCTGTGAATATCACTTTGGGAACCTAGAGCATAAAACTAGCTGCTGCTAATTCATTTTGGGTTCCAAAACTACCTTACAGGTCTTATATGTTTACGATAGACTCTAAATTATTTGTCATTCCACACCAGTGTTTCTATAGCTAGAGTGCTTTATACAATAGATATGTGCCGTGCTCCTGCAGGTGGGATTTCATATACCCAGTTGCACTCCATTGGGAGAGAGATTATATTTGTATTTTTTTCTAGTAGTATTCTTTTTGTATACATTAAACTGTAAGTAATGTGTGTGTTAAAGACTAATTAAGGGGTATAAAGTATTGCTACATAGAAGTAAAGCTTTTTTTAAAAAGAACAAATGCCTGGGAGCTGTCATTACTGACTTGTTTATGCAGATCCCTGGCTCTAATGGCCATTAGTCATTGGATTTGAAACCGGATAGACTGACAATTTTGGAGCCACAGCCATGCTGAAAACGATATAGAAGAGCCTTTATCTCTAAGCCTTGCTCTGTTGAAGAGTTTGCAATGTCTCTGGGTCTCTAGTGCCTAGCTGGGGAGAAACAGAATCAAGTTTTTTCTCCTATTTGACCTCACCTGTGTGACAGACTTCCCAAAGAACTGCTTCCTGATCTATTCTATGATGATTACTGCAAAGCGACAATGAAAAATGTTCGTAAATATAAATGATAAACCATAGATTCTAGCTATATTTGCTGCATTAAATGCTTATACTGATTTGCCATGGTTGCTATTTTTCTTTTTACATGCTAATGTTAATAAGGGCATTGTTATTTATTGATGTATAATTAAAGCTAAACTCCAGGCAAACCGCTAAAAACACAGATAAATACATGTAAAGGAGCTGTTTTACCTGTCAAAGGATTTTTATTGCTGTCCATCCAGTTTTGAGATTTACACAGATCTGCCACAGTGCAGTAACTTTAAAGGTCTGCTCCCTAACACCACCATGTGACTGCATAGTGAAAGGAGATGCAGCAGACCAATAGCTCATTTCTGCTCTCTCCTATTATCCGTATGCACTTTATAAATGGTCCTGGGCCTGGTGGACCCCATGAAACAGCGGGTTTAGTGCAGCTCCATATGGTTATAGGAGCCCTAATGACAGCTATAGTTTAACAGGACAGTGATGCTCCATCAAGGGCAGGATTCATTTAAAAAAAAATCTTTCTGGGTATGTTTTGAAATAGTACTGTTTTGGATATGGTATATCATTACCGCCACTTCCATTATTAGCTTGTCAAATGGTAAATATTTCATATCAAGTGTAATGTTATATTTTTGGCCTAAACGTAGCTTACTATCTGGTGTATATTAGTGAAGATGACCTTACATGACCTCACATCACTGATCAACAGCCACATGGTGGCTTCCAGAAAGCACATTCCCTGCCCGGTGCCAGGATTGGGTAGGCTATAACTCACGTAGCAGAGGAACATGTGACCGATACAGTGAGATACGGCTGTGCCATAACTTTTCCACATTCACAACCAATAAAAACAAAACTACAATAGACAGTTTAACACTTTATTTTATAAATCTTATATTACATCATCTTGTATTTGCAAAATAAACCTGGCAATAAAACACAGACACAA